TTTCTTCTTTTTTATTGTGAGCCGCCCAGAGTCACCCGTGGGGGAGATGGGTGGCATACAAACCGAATAAATAAAATAAAATAAAATAAAATAAATAAAATAAAATAAATAAATAAATAAATAGGTTTCCATTTCTGTGCTGCAGCTTGCATGTTCAGAGAGGACAAACCCTGTGTCAAATAGCTAAACAAGAAGCAGAGACATCAAAAGAGTTCCTCTATGCTTTTTATTTGTGAGACATTTATGATAGCTTGGAAAGAATTGTGACCAAATTCTTTTACTCTGAAGGCTCCTGGAGTCCTTTGGCTAGATGGCAACATAGGAAAATTAGCAAGCTTGGGACCCAAACAACTGCCCAGCCCATCATCCTCTAGAGTTTAGGAGCCTATAAAACAGGCATGGGAAATCTCCAGATGATAGGCCTAATCTGGATCTTGGTTTGCCATTGCGGGGACAACTCCCTTAGGAAGCGTTGCTTCTTAGACCCTTAGATCTCTTCTGTGATCCTGAGCCCTCCCCTCTAATTTTCCCAATCAATAGTTGGCATCAATGGAGACTGTTTCAAAGTCTCATTAGCACAGGAGGCATTTTTGACACGGGCTGTGGCTTGGAATACATGCAATACATGGGCAACTTCAGGTAATACACAGGTCCTGAAATTTTAAAAAGAAATCACTGGGCTTGATCAATACTTCTTGCAATCATCCAGGATCTGGATGAAAACTAGATTAAATTTAAAGGAGGGAGCCAAAGCAAGTATACTGAAAATAATTACGTTCAACAAAATTGGGCTTAATATAAACTATTTTGGTATGGCTCTAATTGTTGCATTCTCAGTGACCTTTTTATTTTTCCGTCCCCTCCCCAGCAGAGACCCAGCAAACCCACTTCAAAATCCCATGCTTTAAAGAGAAGTAAGCAAAATTTGTCTGTGTAATTTACTGATATCAGAATTTGCATTTCCACAGGCATTACACCTGCCTTATATTGTGCATTACACTGCTGTCACCTCCCGCTCCACAACTCTTTATTTTTTGGCAGGGAACACAGAAAGCCCTTGCCAAAAGGAACAGCTGGTGCTATTAGCCTTGAAGCTAAAAAGCTTCTTGGCTCTCATCCCATATCTGAAGCATTCCAATCCAAGTCTTGCTTTTATTCCCCAGCCTTGTCCATCTCAAAGTGTCAGGTCAGAGCCATCTCATTGCTCAGGTTCTTGACCTTGCATGAGCCCCAGCAAGAGGAACCAAGGCTTGGAGCTGGGAGGCTGGGGCTCCTACGGAGCTTTCCAAAAGGTGTAAGCTTAGGCTGAAAAAGGCTGGGCCTGGAGCAAGCAGAGCAAGGAAGGGTGGTGTTCATTTTGCTTCATTGTCCTGTAAATAGGACAAGAGATTGGAATGGACTGCAGGATAAGAGTGATGCTGCTCTTGTCCAGCAATCAAAAGGAGGTATTAAACATCCGGGATGATAACTAGAAACTCAGAGGAGTAGCAAAAGCTGGGAAGAACACCAGTCTTCTCTGGATCTCTTCTTCAGACTGTTTTGTTTCTTGGGAATTGTTTTTCATAAACATGGCTACACTCCAGGCATTTTCTATCAGGCAGTTTCTGCTGAGCTGTATCTAGAAGCAGCCCCCTCTGCCCCTCCAAGAGTTTTCCCCTTCAAAGTCCACGTGGAGGATCAAGGACCTCTATCTATTTAATTGTTGTTCTAGGATATCTTTCCCCAAATGATTGTTCTTCAGATGTTGTAGCACTCTAGGGCAGGGGTTCCTAAACTTTTTGCCATCATACCTCC